CTTCTTGAGTCTAACCCAAGGCAACACACTCGTGAAGTGGCCCTGAAATTGCATGTTTCTCATGAAACAATATTGAAACATCTAAGGAATACGGGAAACTCCTTAAAGAAGGTGTTTGGATGCCTCACAAACTCTCCAATGATCATCACTTCCAACATTTGAACGTTACCTTGTCTCTTCTGGCACATAATGCGTGTGAACCACTTTTGGACAGAAGTGTCACTGGTGATGAAAAATGGATCCTCCATGCGAACATTAAACGACAAAAACAATAGCTCAGTCCCAGGCAAAAACCACTTCCAACCCAAAAACCTGGACTCTATCCTCAGAAAGTGATGCTTTGCATTTGGTGGGACATCAAAAGAATAATTCATTTTCGAACTCCTCAATCCATGGCAAACTGTCAATACAGAGATCTATAGTCAGCAACTAGAATGCTTAAATCAAGCCCTTCATCAAAAACGCCCTTCATTCGTCAATCGGAAAGGTGTTTTTCTCCATGACAATGCACGTCCACATGTGGCACATATGACGCAACATAAGATTATGGAGATAGTTTGGGAAGTTCTACCCCACCCACCATATTCTCCAGATATGGCACAGTCAGATTACCATCTTTTTCATTTGCTGCAACACCATCTTAATGGGAAAACGTATGCAAATGTAGAAGTTGTTAAAAAGGACATCGACATGTTTTTTGCTTCAAAGCCAAGTGATGTCTTTAATCAGGGCATTAACAACCTGATTGTAAGATGGAAAAGCATCATCAATAAGAATGGAGACTATTTCATTTAAAAAAAAGCAACATTAATTTCTTGATGACCTAATACAGTATATTCTGACTTTTAAAGTGCATTTATATATTTCAAGAAATGATTTTAACCCTTTCAGGCTTGATGGCAGTATACTGTCATTTCTCTATTCATAAAAATTAACAACTCAAAAGTGACATCATATCTGAACATCAAATATGACAACTATTCAACATTTCTGAACCTAAATTTACAATTTATAATAAAATAAAAACCACAAAGTGAAATAGCTGTAGACAATACTATTGTGCAATACACCCATAACCATTTCACACACACACGTATCAGTAATAACACAATCACAGGCCTAATGATGTCATGCACTAGCCATTTTTGTTGAGGAAAATTCTGCAATAAATATTTTACATTTAATTAAAACTAATATAAATAAATGGTATTTAACTTACTGTATTTTATTTATAAAAAGCTACTTCTGTACTCCATTAAGAAATTAGGTATTGCTTTTTCAAAATACCCCACTAATCTCTGAAGTCGTGCCACAGCGATGTCTACCATAAGGCTTCATCAGATTTAAATTACTAATGAAAGATTTTTAAAAGCTAAAAAAAAGCAACTGTGGAAGTAATTACTGCAACAAACTTAAAGAACAAGAGAAATCGCTAAAATTAACTCATTACTTTTATGTAGAATACAAAAAACAAAACCATGAAATACTTGGATAATACCAATTTTAATACAATATATTTATGATTTTGTTAGCTTAGAAGTATAGAAATTGTAGATTGATACATTGAATAGTTGAATTTTAGTTTCTGACAACATCGACTTCATCACAGATGCTGCTTTCAAACTGTTAAGCTAGAAATAAGCAACAAAGTTTTATCTATATAAATGGGAAATATTTCTATTCCCCATATATAAATTACAAATTGGGATCAAAAATTGAAATTAGGATTATCAATTGGATTAATTTTATTACTTTATCCAACACAAATATTCATAAAATTTATACCAAAACAAAACTTTTAAATCTAAATGTTTCAGCTATAGTTTTATTCTCAGAGATTTTAGAGATCAGAAGACAGAATTTTTCAAAACTTAACTTTATCGTGTGACATTGTAAGAAGTGCTGGAAAGAATTATATATATATATATATATTAGCCATGACCCACAAAACATATGCAGTGGTTTTCATGCCCTTCACTTGAATTTTTTATATTCTACCATTTTCATGCACAGCATTTAAGCTACATTTTCTTGCAGACATTATTGTGTTAGATACATAAATCCTGGTCTATTTGAAAAAACTGTATGTGGTCAAACAAACACACTCATGTAGATGTAACTTTATTTAATAAAATTACACATTTGTAATTTTATTTAATAAAACTACACATAAAGTAAGCAATAAAGTACAGTCATGGTATTTATAATAGTGTACAGAGTATG